CTCAAGTAAAATTTATAGTTTCCTGATAGTAGGCCAAGATTTACAGTGATTTAACTTTACTGCACTGCTAGCAAAATAAATAGCGACGTTATAGCCAAAAAATTGTATCATGTCATTTGTAAGATATTTTGTTGAGATCATTCAATATTTTGTATTTTGTGTATGTTGTGGTAGATCCATCTTCAAACCCATATTCAACAACAAGCTATACGGTCATCATTCGATCGTTGGGGCTTTTCATCTTGGGGTGATTTTTTGTTGGAAGTTTATCGATTGGGTGACGTCCCATTTAAAAAGGTTTTTGCCCAACGATCGTATGGTATTCAGTAGATGAGTTAAGAGTGCCTGAGATAGCCTAGGCAATTTACAAATTCAAACATTGGTTCGCATAGAAAGCTCTCAATTAATAACTGTGGAAGTGTATTTAGAACACTAAGTTGAGAGCCGGCAAAATGCTCGCTCCAGAAGCGTAAAAAGCCAATAAGAAGTTTAAAGTGCCTGATTTTATTAATAGGATAGAGAACTACTTCGGCCTAATCACCCATTTTGGGCCTATCGAGCAGAAAACTTCAAATAAATCCATGATTTCAGAGTTAACAAGTCAATTATGCGTTTGGTACGATATTTTAGATAATAAGCTACCAAACGATGTCAATGAGAACGCGTGATACGAAGTTTTGCACCCATTATTCCCAAAAACAAAAGAAGCGCTCCGACCGAATCAATTTTTATCTTCAGAAGTGGATTCATTGGCGTTTCAATGCGTTAGGCCGAGTTTAGAATCCGTAGGCCGAATTTGGCGTCAAGAAGCGGTGTTAGACTTTTGACAATATCTCAACGATTGGTTTCTCTTTATCAAATATTACGGTACATACGGAAAGGTAAATAATTTTGGAAGCCATCAGTAATAATAACATTTCGTTTGGTGCTAAACTGCGCTAGGTTAAGAAAGATTAAGTGCCGGTTGTGCTTAATAGGCCGGAAATGGGAAACACATGCACATTAAAGTTGTAGTTAATGTAATCAAAATTAATTTCCGTATTTATTGTAATTAAAAGTACTCAAAATGTAGTAAACGGACTTCAACTACACGACTGTTATTAGTGGACTAGAAAAGTAGTACGGACTACACGACGTAATTAAAATAGTCATAGCTGTAATTAATGGAATTAATTTAATTACAGCTTTTGTCTGCGTCGGATTTAAAGTTATTGCGTTCCCCTAGAGAATACTCTCAATTAACAACTGAGGAAGTGCTCAAAGAAGCCGACGAAATGTCCCAATGGGGACGTAATATAGCAAAAAGAAGACTCATCCAAGAATTTTGAATTTGAAATCGTCAGTTTCAGATTAAAAAGCTGCCGAATTGAAAAGTGTCGGATTATCTGTATCTGAATTTATTTCTCTAAGCAGTTAGAATTCGAATAGTGCTAATCAGTCTTTAAAAAACGTCTATGCTAAGAGCTGCTTGGATTAATTTTTGTCAGATCATGTTCGATACCATACATTGTTTTCTAGTAATCCTTGATTTCAAACGATCCCACTTCTTGTTCTTGTGCTGAAGGATATAATCATTGATTCAATCCCAGCTGTGCGTTGCTATAGTTGCTATGCGTAACAAACAATCCTGTTTTCTGCATGCGTTTTGACCGTTGATGTCTGATTTGGGCCCATACATAAATTCAGCAATCGACTAAATTTTCAATAGCGACCAAAAATATCCATTAGTACCGTCCCAATGACGTGTTCATGTATATAAAATTGATAAATAGCAGATTTTTAGCTACGGGCCCAATCTTAGAGCCATTTCCCTTATTTGAATTGAAAATACAAATCCAGGTTTGGATAGAATCCAAAAGGGGCAGACAGTCCAAGGTGCATTTTTCACAGGTTCTTAATTCTCAACAGCGCGGATTAACTTAGCTTTTCTGCACTAAAAAATCACTGAATTATGATTGGAAGTGCTGTGAGGAACATCATCTCGCGTCTTACTCCAATTGCATTTTTGCCTGTTTAACCCTACTAGGCATATCGAAGCGTTTTTCGAAGTAGAATGACCTCAATAAATGAATGAATCATCACACCAAGTCTGCCAGTAAAATGTACTAGTATAAGTGAAAGTTATTATTTCTTCAGTAATCTCAATTTTTTACCTAAATTCCTCTAAAGGATGAGGAAACTAATCTATACTGATTTCTTCATGAAAGTCATTAGAGCAATAATCACGATGTTCTCCACAGGGCTTTTCAAAAAAATATTCGTCTGATCTCAGTGTAATCATTAAACTTGATCATTACACAGAACGCCTACCCAAAATGATGACGCTTTATTCTATGTTGATCTATCCTTGCTTACTCCGTTCCTACTTTTGGTAAAATTTAGCTCTTCGGAAGTACCAATGTATATTCTGTGCTTCTAAGAACGATAAAGCTTTAGAAGGCTTCTACGTTAGAAATTTGCCAATATTGTTCATAAAGTCAATCAGTTTCCAATCTCGTTTGTGAGAGATTCAACCCATGATTGAATCCATAGATTGAAAAATTGCATGCTGAGATTGAAAAAATGCACAAATTTGAACAAATCATGATTTACAAGATCTTATCAAAGCTTGTTTTTTTTTAATCTTAGAATGACAAGTACGAATACTTTAATAATTTTCTATTATAATGGTCAAAACCTGCGTGTTACTGATACAGAGTCAATCAAACCAGCGTCGTGCAAACTGTACTGAATATTTGGTAGTCATACCTCAGACATGTTAGTATATTGCTTAAGATTGTATAATGTTCGAATCTTTAAGCTGCTCTCATTTAGACAAATGAGCATTAGGAATCAAATTTTAACAAGTATACCAACCAATTACATCTCGATAACGTAGTCAATTGGGGTTACACTAGAATCTAAATCTCGACTAGTTTTTCGAAGGGACGTATCAGCTTTTGTAAACAATGCATTTGATCGACAATTTGGCGTAACTGGTAGCTTGCCCACGCATTATAACACTACCCTCGGATAAGGGAAATTTTCCCCTGCCTGATAGCGATGTTAGTATGCGTGGGCGAGCTACCAGTTATGCCAAATCAATGACACGTCCCTTTGAAAAAGTAATCGAGAAATCGTTCTCAACAAGTTCATTAATGGAATCTTCAATCTAATATCAGCTTCACTAGGAGCTTTTCCAACCGATAATTCACCAAATGCCCACATCTTTCATCTCAAATTTAAACGGGTTTGCGCTACATTCTCGGCCGAGTCACGTGTTTGCTCCCTGCCCTTCGCCGCCATTCGACCGCTTTGGTTTGCAAAGTCGCGAAAGGCGGAAGTGGCGTTGCAAACGCGCTCTCGGTCTGTCTACCTAACCATGCACTCGTTTCGTCTGGAGACACGGGCAGAAAATGTGCATATCGTACGCGGAAAGCGCGAAAGAAGGCACAATGTCTTACGTCGTTATAACAAAACTAGCAAATAAAAGCGCAACAGTTATGTGGACGTCAGTTGGTTTTGCACTCCACTGTGGAGGACACATTGTGCCTCACTCGGGCAGAGATAAATATACAAACCCGAACAGCGGCGCAAATGATGAGAATGAGCAGAAGAATGCAGTTTCTTTCCGCTACTTTTGAGTGCAAAATTCTGGGTAGCTCCCCGTGGTAACCCTTTCGAAGCTGGTCGACTGAGATCATATTGATCACAGTAGGCGCGCGCGTGAACAACTCATTCTGGTGCAGTTCAGCTCCGTTCACACTGATGCACTGATTCGCGCTCCCCGCACTGGGAAGGCGTTTCCGGAAGGGAATTATTCGTACCTACATATGCATCAAGAACTGCGCTCCCGCAGGGCAGCAAATACGAATACCTACAAGTTTTTCTTCCTCGCGAAGTAGTGCTCGAGGAAAAAAGTGAAATGAGAATCGCATTTGTACAAACCACACTGCTTGCTGCTGTTGAATGCGCGCTGTGAGTTGCACATATGCAAATCGGTGAACCAAAAAGCAACGGCAGTAGCAGCCGGTTGAAGGAAAGAAAATGAAAAGGCGCATATAAATATACGGCCCGGTGTAAAGCCAGGGAGTTTGCAAGAAATGATTTATACCGTTTCCGACTGGTAGCGACGGCGAAGGCGGTGAAGGTGGCGGCGACGGCGGTTGTTGTCGGAAATGTGGCATGTCGGAAGACGGAAAATGGCCGTATCTGAACGTCAAGCTGAACAGCAGTAGTAGTAGTAGTCCAGTAGTGCGGTGGTCGATCGGCCTACTGCGACGGAACACTTGGGGGTTGTGAATGTTTTTGCTTATTCGCGAAAAAAAAATGGAATTAGCTGCGACAAGTCCCTCTCCGTGTAAGCGCGAGGGGGTTGAAATATAAAGCGGTATTCAATCATTTCGAGTCTATTGTTTTCAGCGACAGTTCTCTTCCTCTTACGCAGTTACACGAGCGGAGCCGTCGGAGAATAGAGGCGTCAAGAAGTGAATCTCGCTGTAGGAATCAATCAAAGTAGACGTAGCCGGGCGATACGGGTACGGTCGACCCTATTATCACGCTGTCGCGGGAGAGTATACTTATTCTTGATCTCGTCGAGGAACAGGAAGACGGAGGTGGAAACCGCAGCTCTCGGTTGGGAGTGAGTGAGAAAAAATCTCATCAATCATAATTTATTATTCAAATTTATGTAGATTCTTTGAAAAAAAAGAGAGCCTGCTGAGGCAAGGAATTTTAGACGCGCGGGAGTGTATTGTATGTTATGTGGATGTAAATTTTGTACATCAGGAAAGAACGGAGCGATTGAGAGCGAGAACAAACTAATTTCCCAACCGTCGTCGTCATCGTCATCATGGCCTGCTTGAATGGGACTCGCGCGCGCGATTTTAGAGGGTTTCGAGGGGTAGGAAACAAAGATCACGTGGCGACTTGATTGTATTATGCAGGCTATGTTGAATGTCGTAGGAAAAGGGTTCCAATTAAGATGAGATTTGGGACAGGGTGTGGGTAATCGATCTTACCTTAGATGATAGCACGGCTTCTGCTGTCGAATAATCCCTGCGTAGACTTGATAGCATGGGCTACTGTGTTACACACAACGGCTCAGTGTTTTTTTTAAAGAGCGAGAAAAAAAAAACTATCAAATGGCAATTTTTCCCCCTTGTGTATAGGTCATTTTTCCGCCCTCACGAGGTAACAGGTAGCACTTTTCCACACTGGCGACAATCTCTGGTTTATGTATATCTGTTTTGCGGTAATTGCGGACAGCACAAACTTTCACACAGATATTTTCCTGCGTACGATAAATCACTTGCCGCTGGTCGGTGAGCGCTTATTTTTGAACGTACAAATGTAAATATTTACACAAGTTTTTCCGGCTTTGCACACTCTTTCTCCAATCCTGCCGGTTCAAAGTCGAAGTCGGAAAAGCTCGGTGTGAAGAGTTATGTTATCGACTGTTGAACACACTCTTTTCCCTTGGTTGAATTGCTCGGTTAGTAGTACTAGCAGGAGCACCAATTGCTAGAAACACATGCCACACGCGCGGAATTGTGCGAAACTAGTTTTCGACTAAACACCTTCGCTCAATTATCGCCTCTTCTTCTGCTTCTTCACCAGGTGTTCCACCGTGATGAACTTCCGCGGTTGATAATTTATACACTTTGCGCGAAAATACCCGTTCCTTGTTGAACCGTTTCGCACCGTCACTGTCTCTTCGCTCCTTCGTTACTTAAGCTTGTTCTAGCTGCCCTCCCTGTTGTCACTTGCGACACTTCTTCTCTTTGTTCGCGAATTCTATGATCTTTATTGGATCAACGAGCGCGACCGTTGGATCCCTAAATGCTCATCAATTCGCAGCCGCGCGACTTCCTTGTATGTAGGTTGCGCTGATCTTTTTCTGTGTACGTTGCTTTCCGGTCTTCTCTTTCGACGCTCAATTCCGGCTTCTCGGCTCACACAAGAAAACCGGTTCTCTGTCGAAAAATGTAATATTTTTCAAGATGATTCCTTGTTCACCCGATCCCGGAACCAGAGTCACCAAAACGAAACCGAAAGAATTTGAGAACTTCTCCACTAATCTTAATTCAAACTTCACGAATCTTGTTTGTGTTTCTTGGGATTCTTCCAGCTCAATACACTTGTGCTTGTTTATTTCCACTGCCTTTTTTTTTCGTCGAACTTTACACACATATGTACCGAGTGAACAACAGCTCTGTATAAACACACTTGGTTCTTGAGTTTGTTCGAAATCACACGATCCAAAGAAGTTCAACAATAGATAGTTGTTGTGATGTTGAATTCTTGGCGAAGAAAAGTCCGTACCGCAAGCGGAATTGCGGAGAAGCACAAAATTTGCCGTCGTACGTCGACGACACACCAGCGAGTACTGAACCGAAGTTGTTTGCGAAGACCGGACCGTAGTGTGCCTCTTTGGAGTACGCGCGCGACAAGTGGAAAACGTGCCTCTAGACTCAACGCGGACTCAACGAGAAGTGTGTAATGTGTTGAATGTTTGGGCTCTCCTGCTACTGCTTGCTGACTTGCTTCAATCCGATCCGATCGGTTGGCAAACATTTCCCACTCTCTCTCTTTCGACATCTAGGGAGGCGCACATACACAACACAACAGATCCGGCAATTCGCCTCTCCTTCTCTGTTTGCTGCTCACGTAATCGCTCTCAACGTCTACTAAGCTCGCCTGCTGCGCTGCGGTGTGCTTTTCTGGTGAGGCGAGGATGATGGAATGGGAGCTTATGCTCTCACTCTCCCACGGACGGACGACTGCACTGCCTGCTCAACCCACCATCCGGCTGTGCTGTTGTGTGTGAAGCAAGTGTAAACGAAGAAAAGCGGCGATAAATTTCCGGAGAATGGAAGAAAGTTCTCACACCGACACCAAGCAAGAGCGAGGGCTACCTACCTACCTACCGAACCACCACACAGCTCCAAATCGCCTGGCGCTGGGGCTGCTGCACGCAGATTTGATACGATGATGATGAGTATATGCAGGTGCGATAGGGTTGTTCCCTTAAGCGCTGAGATTTGCCTGGAGTATGAATTTTATGTGGTTTGTAGTTTTAATTTTTAATGATTTCAAACAATTTTATTATATTTTACTCTATAAGAATCAATCAAGTAATCGGTTTTGGTTGTTAGGTGTTCAAATATTCTTTGATTTAAATTAATGCAAATCAGTGGAAACAAATATGTTATGTGTCTAAATTCAATTTTTGCCGACATTTCAAGGTAAATTTATGTATACAGTTGAGAAAAAATAATCTTCATACAGGATACACTCAAAAATCATCTGGTAAACAATTTCCCAAACAAAATACACTCGGAACCTCATTCAAAAGTCAACTTTTTGTCTTTAGAGTTAGTACAGTACGGTTGGAATGACATAGTTCAACTTGATTTAAATTAAACTAAGTTGGATTCAATATTTGGGGCTAACAATGTTTTACAATGTTGTTTGTCATTAATTTATGAACAACTTTGTGGAGGTTGCATTTTTTTTAGGAATTCATCCATAAAAGTGACAGTTTAATGAAGTTACACATTCAAATAAACGACGCTTCAGGGGGAAATCACGTAAAACCTTAAAATTGCGATATCTCAAGAAACGCTCGATGGATGATTTTAATTTTCACATATAATACGGTGAATGACCATTACCAACTCTATCGACTGATACCGTGAATTTACTATCGTCAACAGGGTTACCAGGTATCCTGAATTATCAGGATTTAACGCCTCATTTATCCTGATTTTTATTGAAAAATCCAGATTTATCCTAATTTTAACATTCAAAGTGTTTTTATGTTACTTCATACGCAAAGTTAGCGATTTTAAGAGTTGGTTGGAAATGCTAACATGAAGCTTTAGTGTGATAATTTATTAGCTAGAGAATGATCTTTAGAAGATATTACCAAAGCTCATTAAAATTCAAATTTGTGAAATACTGAAAACCATGAACATTTTAAAATTGACAAAAATCGTAGAATACGAACTTTTGGAAAAAAAATTGAACTTCTTGTTGGCATGTTTTTTGAAGAAATTTATGCACATAAAACGATTCAAAATGTCTCAAATATTGTTTTCTGTGTAGGAAGTAATTAAAAAAGTTAACAAGATTTGACCTAAACTTCTTATTCTACGATTCTTTTCAACTTTAAAGTGTCCATGGTTTTCAATATCCAAAAATTTTCATTTTTCCTGAGTTTTTTTTTAATTTTAAAAATATTAGAAATAAACGTACATATTGATATATTTGAGTATTTAACACTTTTTTAGAATGTTTACTCAAAATTACAAAGGAAAAAATCCTTATCGTTTATATTTGTCCTTAAATTTGCCTAAGACTTCATTTAGATTAGATGTGATGTTTTCGTGCTAACATTATTTGAAACATTTCAAAGACATTATTTTGTAGTTTTGTCGACATCCGGTTTCGTTGGTTCACAATGAGGAATTTCAGCGCTTTTAACCGTTCTTTGTAGACTTCGTATTCAACTGATCGAAGTTTCTCCGTGTTTCAGTCAATTGATTATTGCACACAGTTTATTTGCTACAATTTGGCTCTCTTGAAGAACTTCAAGTTTTAATAATATTTTAAAGATTATTTGAAGCTTAAGTTCAAAATATTGTAAAATTAAAGTTTCTTGAAAAATGTATACTTTTAAAAAAAATGTAATTTTATTTTCTAATTCAAAATTTTAGTTATCATTTATGACGATACAATTGTACCAAAACAGCAGGTCTTTGATATGTTATTGGTTCAGCTTTACTGTTTTAAGCGTGTTCCTCAACAAACAATATCTTTGATCGTAAAAAAGGATTGTTATAAAAAACATACTTCTGAATCTTTTTGATGCTCTAAATGATTAGACTTTCATATTGTAGGACAACATTCTATCAAATGTAAAGCTTAATTTTTTTTCAGTTCCTTAAGTCATGTGGGACTGAAAACGACAACTACATGCTAATCCAGGCGTCCACCGTTCGGTTAATTTTGAACTAAGAAACTGTTCGGTAAAGTTAAAAAATCAGTGAAAAATTCAATAATTAGTAAATTTATTCCAAACTTGTACAGACTGTTTTCAGTTTACTCCATTTATTTATTTAAAATAAAATCAAAATTTGTCAATTTTATTGATTTCTCACGTGTAACGATCATTTAAATGTTAACAACTTTTTCTGCGTTTCAAAAACCCGATTAAATTGTATCGACTTCGGTGATATGAAATATGTGTGTATGATCAGTAGTAGAGAGGGTCTAGGATACGAGAAGAGTGGATTTAAAACAAACTGCCTTGGCAACCTATGTCTTGGAGGTTTCTAACAAAACAAGATAGGCGCTGTTCGATTGGCTTTAGCTTTGACATGTTTGTTTAATGTCGTTTTCGTTTTTGCGGTGTAGCTACACCAGTGCTACACTGCCGTACACCGAAATAATTGAGGGTGTAGATATAGGATGCACTTTTGTTTACAAACAAATGATGTTGAGCTGTCAAAGACTCATGCTTATTCCTGCTTACACTACACCAGTGCTACACCGCAAAAACGAAAACGACATAACTTTAAACCAGCTATGGTTCGCTCCTCTCTTATCCTAGACCTTCTCTAATCGGTAGGCGCTGAGTTTACTTGCACTATTTAAAGTTATGCCGCGGATACACTTGCATGACAATCTATGATCAAATGATCAAACAATGCTCATGTAAATAGTTGGCCATACAAGTGTATCCGCGGCATTACATATTTTGTACATAAGCAAGTTCACTTAAATCAACCAATCAATGAAATTCTCCTGAAGATTCTATATCCATTTGCAGTATTAAAAATTCCCACGAGCGCCACCCTAGCGCCCACTTGTAGAGTGTGCCATGTTGCGAAAGAGAGAAAAAGCTTCGCATACTCAAGAAACGGCAGTAGCAGTAGCAGCAGCAGCAGCCTGCTTGAACTCGGATTTGAGAGTACACGACAGCGTTGAGCATGGTGTCGTACAAACAAGGAAGACAGACCAACGCAGCAAACAACACCTCAAAGAGCGAGAGAGTGAGAGGGTGCAGGAGCCGTAGTAGGGGGTGTGCTCGATCGAGAGAAAGAGTATGATTTTTCCTTATGCTGCCGTTGTGTACTAGTTTTTTTTTCGGATGGAGATAGATGGATGTGGATGGATCGGTTACGCTCTGCCATCCCCAACTGTCCCCAATGGGTCCGAAAGCTGAGCGAAATGTTCACGGTTGTAGGAAAAAGAAAGAAAATTGTGTGAATGTGTGTTTCAGCAGCAAGAGTGCCGTGCAGCATGTGGATGCTAACTCTTTTTTCGGTTGAAAACTGGGTAATAACTAATTAAAAGGATTGCGAAATGGTGCAGGTCGATTATGCCATCTCGGCAGAGCTGGCTGAGACCGACGGTGGCTCATGACGATGATGATGATGATGATGGAGTGGAGCGGTTGGCATTGTTGGATGATGACGATGATGGGCTTGAGGGGGTTGCATGATGCGTTATGGTGGCATACTTTTGTTTTCATTGCTGCTTTCATTCGCCGCTTCTTCTTCTGCTTCGCCGTGCTGTTCGTGTTTGTTTTGCTTGTGTTTGGTGTCGTCCCTCGTGCGCTTTTTGGGTGG